CTATATATAATAATGACAATATTTATGATCCTTCCTCAAGTGTCAGAGGCTAATGAGTTCTTTTTTGCAGAATAATTTTAATTCTTCTTAATAACAAGGCTTCTATTATTCATATGTCTATTAAATTTTTATTATCAATAGCACCACTAATTTATGACATCCCTCACAGCACAATATGTGGTTAGATGCTATTTGTAATAATGTGTTTGTATGCCTCAATATTTTTTTAGGATGTAACACTTCACCTTATTCACATTTCTTTATAAAATTTAAACATGAGTAAATCTTGCTTATAAATAGGTTACAGTAAATATTTCACTTTAAACAAAAAAATGAGACTGACAATTCCTTCCACAATGTCTCATGATCACACATTTCTATGATGAGTTCAAGGAATGCTGGGTATGTGGTGATGTCAGAACTTCTTTCTGCCACACCATAGCAGCTGGCCTCCCTCTGGTCTCCAGTGGGTTGGGATGCCTGCACAGTGCCTGAGTAGAGGGAATTGTAGGCATTGAGATGAAGCAGGGAGCAGAGAAAGAAGCCAGTAGTACACGGCACAATAGCTTACCCTGGTGAAGGCCCTCTAGATGAAGCCAGAAAGTTGTGGTCTTCCTCCCTTTCTGATGAGCTTGGAAAATGTATGTCTTGGTCACTTTTCTTGTCACTGAGACACAATACCCAACACTCCCAAATTAAAGGAAGATTTAAGTTGAATCACATCTTTAGAGGATCCGGTCAATATTTGCCTAGCTCCAAGGAAGAAAGGGCATGGTGGAAGAGCCTGATGCTCATGGCAGTCAGGAAGCAGAAAGATAAAAGGGGGGAGATAGGAAGGGAGATGCACCCCTCCAGGTCACATCTCCAGTGACCCACTTCCAACCTAGCCCTTCTCCTAAGAGCAACTCAGCTATAGAGCCCTGTGATCCAATCGTCTCCCAGATCTCTTCCCCTGAGAACATTAGAGTTTAATGACACATGATGACATATGTGAATAAAAACCAACAGATATATGATCACGCAGATGCCTTCAGTGTGGTCCACAGTCCATCAAAACTGACCATCTCAGTCAACACCCAGGGACTCATCTGTAGATGCCAGGATCCCCGGCCCACACACCAACAATGAGCCCTTGGTTGGTCTTCTTTTTCTTTTTTTTTGATACCGGGGATTGAACTCAGGTCCTTGAGCTTGCGCAGCAGGTGGCAAAACCACTGAGCTAAATCTCTGGCCTGGTTGGTCTTCTTGCTCTGGGTTTTTATGTCAATTTCCTCTTTGACTAATTTTGATTTCTCCACCAAGATGCTTTCTGATTTTCATCAGCCACTCATTTTGACTCTTATAATCTTATATAAAGACTGTGAAAGAGTAGAAGCCAATGTTGAAACTCAAATGAAGCTCTTCTCCTGTTCAGGGATCCCTCAAAACCCTCAAAAACTATCTTGGATACCCACATCCTTTTAGTATCACCTACTTCTACTGAGCCTGGCTGGATAAAAAGATGGAGCAGAGAGATAAAAAGATTGGGAACTTCATTAGAAAGGTCTTTATTTCATATAACTCAGATCATGAACCACTTAATGATTCTTTTGTCTACTACATAAAATATCTAGTTTTCTACACTATCCAGGCTATATTCAAATCTAGAATTTATGACTCATTAACCACGTGGCAGGGACCAGTGTTTGACCACTGTACCATTTCCTCTCCCGGAAAATGAGAATAACTGTATTGGACACATCATAGGTATTAATATCAAACTCTCTCTGGGGCTCACCAGCTACGTGCCCAGAGTTTTGTCTTTTTCCACCACTTCTGGATGTAGATGGAATACTTCATTCCAAGTAGCCACTAGCAACCTAGCAGCATGGGCAAATTAATACTCATGGGATAACATCTAACTACTGGAAAAAGGGAGATGGGAGAGCACCAGGAAGATATATTCTGTCTTCTTTGTTCCTTTCCATGATTTGCTGGAAGATATCATTTCTGACACATGTGGGAGAGCCACGCAAGCAGCTGTGCCCCATGAAGTGGTTCTCAGCCCGGAAGTGCATCACTTTGCTTTATCTCACATTCTTACCAACCTCATTTCATTACATTTTCTTTCCTTCTGATGCCTTGGCTTTGCTCCTCTGGAACAAAATATCAGCATTTAGTTCTTCTTACAGCTTCTGATTTCTAGCAGAGGTGAGGATAGAGGGAGAACAGGACATTGGAGTAGAGGAGAGAAGGATGAACTGCAGTGTAAATTTTCACCCTTCTGGCATTTAACTCATGTACTGGGACTTCCAAGTACCAGGCATTAAGGAGCCTATCCTGCCCTTCTCTCTCTGGATAGGGTTGTAGGAACAATGAATATACTGACAATTCAGCATGGCAGTTTAGAACCTTATTTCTGGCTCAGCAGGCCATTTTACTAACCAACTAGTTAAGAGTAAGATGGGAATTGGGACAAGCACTTGAGTGGCGATCTGGGATCTCAGCCAGAATCTATCTATTCTACCATGAGGCTCTTACCTAACAGACGATGCCTTTGGTAATGTTTGCCTGAGCCCATTCCAGCAGCATGCACAGCTAGACGATGCTCACAGAAAGATGAATTTGGTCCAGTTCCTGTGCTCAAGGAAATAATCTTGTTTGGGGGCTGAGAAGTCTACCTAGGAGCAGTGGCCTTGAGAAGAGGAGCCCCTAAAGGTGAGGTTCAGAAAGGCTTTCTGGAAGAGGTGGCCTGTGAAGCCAGTGAGAGCGGATAACATCAAGGAGTCCCTCAAGTGGTCAAATAAGCTGAGCAGGGAATGACAGGGAAGAATATTCCAGCAGAGAGCACTTTAGATTTGGCACCTGCTTCAAAGAGTCAGCTTGCCAACTTTCACTCTTCCAACTAAGGTTTTATTTTATTTTATTTTATTTTTCAGTACCAGGGATCAAACTCAGGACCGTGCACTTGCAAGGCAGGCAAGGTGCCGCTGAGCT